CGTTTGGAATAGCCATCGAATACCATTGCAAAGAGATACGGTTTTACCCGATGGGATTCCGGATCACATATATAATTTCCCTGAAAAATATGGTCTAGAAGATTGCAGTATGTATTTTATTGTATTTCAAATTATACAAATTTAGGGGCATACAGTAAGAATGGGAGGTGGCAATGAGGGCAAATACTCCTCCCCTGCAATTTTCTTCAGTGTCCTTTTACGTTTTACCTACCATATGTAAAACAATACACAATGTACCCCTTTTTGTATATGGTTCAATTGCTTATTTTCCTTAACTTATTTTCCATGTTTTATAGCTCATCTGCTCTCCATGTTTTCACCTTAGAGTTTATTTAGTATGACTCTACTTATTTATATTTACAGGTTTACCGATAGCAGAAGAGCAGCTGAAAAATGTTGCAATTCATTCCGGTGTCCTGCAAGTGGAAGAGGATTTTTTGGATGTTGAATTCAGAAGTGTGAAGAAATTATTCCTTATGCAGATAAAGTTAAGCCGGGTGATAGTAAAAATGCATTTCTATATCTTAAAGATAAATTTTTGGAAAATGTAACTGAATAATTTTTTTTTGTCCTCTGCAGTTTTCCAAAAGTAAAAATAAAATACATGTATTATCTATATGAACAAAAGCAGTGGTGTACTGTAGTCCCTAAATTTTAACAAGGGGCATGAATTTTAGCTTGAACATGAAACATGAGAATTTTTTCCTCTTCCAGGGTCTATTAAAATGATTTTTTATTAAGTACTGCCACAAAAAAAAAATTATTTGCATGAAGCAACCTTTCCCTTTTGAAAATTTGCTAACAGCACAGTAACAGGCTTAAAGGTTACTCAGCCCCCACCCCTGAACAAAAGTATATTTGCTATTTGGCATATACATATAACAAATAGGTTATTACATCATGTTTCTACCTAATATACAATGTAAATGACATTTATAGTACAAACAGTGATGTAAAATGTTTTGTTTCATATTAAATTACAAGTACCTATTTGTTTTTTACTAAAATTTAAAGTAACAAAAAACAACACAATTGTCAATGTTCAAGAGCAATATAACACAAAGGAATTACTTCAGTACTTTCAAGTCTAAGCTTTTGCAGTAATTATTGCATTTATGGTTATCAACAAAAAAATCAATCACATTATGCGAGAGATTACCAGTGCAAAACAAGAGTTCATCATTGTCGAACTGTTCTGCAGAGGCTATTTCTGGGTCATACAGCATGTGACCTGTTCCCTGAATATCCAACACCATTAACTTGTTGGACGATTTCTCATAACTAAAATAAACAAGGCTTTCAGCCTTTTGAACCCATTGATTTGTATGATCACCAAAACAGACAGCACCAGTATTGTTGATATACTTGACGAAAACTCCAGGTATATACGGCTCAACAGTGACATGGTTGTTATTTTCAAGCTCTTTTCCAATTATACCTTTCCATATTGCAATGGTTGCCCAGAGTTATCCAATCCATCTTTCTGCACTTGCTGAGCAAGTTGATCTGCAAAATTGCGTTGAGATTTCAACATTGGGTTTTTTGCTGTGCAGGATGAGTTCATGATTTTACTTGTCGTACATGCGTTGTGTGGTTTGTGATGTTTGTCGTGCTGATGTAGTTTTATGCATATATCGCTCGTTCGTTCTGTGTAGGAAAAAATGCATGTCTAAGTGGGTAGGGCGTTTAACCTTTCCGAATGCCCACAGTTGAAGTCAATATATTGTGGGATGGTGCGGCATGTTGTTTTCAGATTGCCCGATGATTTTCAGTATTTGCAGCATCATGGGATAAACAAATGCGGCTACCCTCGTTGTATGCCATTATTATTTCGCTGCCTTTTTCATTCTTCCTGTCTTTTTTAATATTTGTCAATTGTATTGTGCATGGCTTGTCTCTGGTACATAGAATTTTACGTATCACCGCAGACATTCGTTTCGCTCTTGCTCTGCTCTTTGTTTATTTCTTTGTTCTTGCTATACGGAATTATGCCTGCTACCACTACCAGAACGAGTAAACGAGTGCAGAGGCGAGCGCAACCAACCCGACCTGGCCGACCACGACGGTCGTCATGCTTCGGTCCACTCATGGCTCCAAATACATCGGTGAATACCTTGCCACAGCCATTGTCCGCGCCAACTACTGCACCAACAGACAACACCACTGCGGGGTCTACCAACCATTTTACCCTCTCAGAAGCTACTCTAGCCCGAATAATTTCGGAAACAACGCAGGCGGTCATGGCCAACCTCCTGTCACACACCATCCCATCTACACCGCCCGAGTTGTCGACGGAGACGCGTGAATTGCCAGTGGTTGCCTCGGGTGTGTTGGGTACGGCAGACGCCACGATGCAGGGGTCGGTGGCGTCTGCTTTACTCAATATATCACCGCAGCAAACAACGAAGAAATTGAACAGATTCAAAAGCGTGCCGTGAAGATCCTCCTACCAGGAACACCATATAAGGAAGGTTTGCAGAATTAAATCTTGAATTACTAAGTGAAAGAAGAACTGAGATCTGTAAACGATTTTATAAATCTGTTTTGCAGTCCACTAGTAAGTTAAAAGAATTAATTCCGAAGCAGAGACAAATGAACTATTCTTTGCGTCAACCATGCAGTTTTGAACTTTTTAAGAGTAGGACTACGCGTCTTAAAAATAGTTTTATACCTGCATGTGGTAAAATTCGGTATGATCACCCATTTTAACATTAATATTAATAGTTAGTTTTAGTTATATATTTCTATATAATGTACACATACGTATTTCAAATATTCTAGGTAATATTTGCAAAGTATTGTATTTCTAATAATAATAATAATAAGTACCTATCGCAGGGCATGGAAACTCTACAATCAGTTTTCATCTACAGTTTTTCAATCTGCTTCAGTCAAACTGCCCATATCGCCTTCAGACTTGGGTTTATTTATCGCATTCATGTTTCAGCGCCATTATGCAGCCTCGACCACGAATACATATGTTTCTGCATTAGGTTATTGTCATACATGACCCTACAAAGGTATTTTCGGTTCTCGAAATGTTGAAAGGATATGGTAAGCTTGGCTCCGGTGTCAGACTTCTCTCGTTGCATTTAGTGAATATCGCGCACTTTTATTTAGGGCAATGTGTACGACAGCCTTTTTTGCCTTTTTGCGGGTTGATGAAATAACGAGTTGCCCACGGTCTCCAGGCGTGCTTCAATTATCTGAAGTGGTTCAACTTGTTGATAATTTGGGTAATATTTCCGGTTTGAAAATCAATTTTGCGAACTTTAAACATTCCTACAATCAACCTTGTGTTTCTCTTACACTTCATCGCCGTTCCGATATTTGCCCTGTGCAGACATTACTAGAATATTTTGCGCGTCGCGGTTTATCCGATGGCCCACTTTTTCGCACTCTCGATGGGCGCGCAGTAACATGCAGACTATTTACTGAGCATTTGGCTTTAATTTTTCGTGCATGTGGTCTTGACCCTACTAAGTATAAGAGGCACAGTTTTTGAATTGGTGCAGCTACTTTCGCTGCGGAATGTGGTTTTTCTGACGCCCAAATCAGAGTAATGGGTAGGTGGAAATCCGACGCATTCCGCAAGTACATTCGTAGTCTGAACTTATCTTCGCGACCTATGTCGCATCATATGTCGACATGAGTCATTGCCGTGCCTGGCGGGGGTTGACCTTGGCTGCACACTTCTTAGTTCCTACTTATTTCGTTATATCCCACATTAGTTGCAACCAAGATAACTACGATGAGACTCATTGGTAATCTGGCGCAATGCTGATGCAGGGTAAAGGTAGCGCTCCTCTACCTCATGTCACTATTTTCATATTGGCGACTCCGGTTGCAGATACTCGGCCGGTCAATGCACGGGCACGACTGGTTGGAGATCTGTACCTTTTCCTTCCCACGATTCTTATATGTGGGTTTCTTATATGCATGTTTTATATATTATTTGTTTTGCTGATTTTACAAGTCTGTCTGTGGATACCTTGTCATGACGAGGTGGAGTTTGTCTCCTTTACTCAAGGAGCCTTGTGGCATTTAAATTAGCCCCACATTTTCTGTGCAAATTGTTTAGTAATTGAATTTATTGTTTGTTGATTAATAATTAATTTGTTGTTAAGTAAAAATTAATAAATCGGCATGTGCATTAGACACATTGCAACACAATTACGCACGTTGCCAAAATTACTCCAACTCTGTGTCTGAGTTGTTTTTGTACGAGATCTAGAACACAGAAAACAGAGCTCCTCATGACAAGGTATCTTTTAGATATGAAGCCAATGAAGGGAAGCGATAAAGGAATTATTGGCATATCAATAAAGAATTTATTGCTTCCTGCACTTGAGACTTAAAGTAGATTAAATACTTTAGTTTTACGCGCGGGTAATTTCCCTGGAATTCTGATGACATATAGGTAACGCCTGGGAAAGCGGAGATGAGGGTCAGTATAGATAAAGAGCAGAATGTGCTGCCAACTCATTCTGCTCCTCGCTTCGACAAGGTCATATTACAGATCGAATTTGAGCCCGCCATCCTCCCTGTTTTCACGTGAGCTTAATGTAAAGGTATATTAGTATATTCGGTAGGGCGTTTAAATTAGCACCACCTTTTCTGTGCAAATTGTTTAGTAATTGAATTTATTGTTTGTTGATTAATAACTAATTTGTTGTTAAGTAAAAATTAATAAATCGGCATGTGCGTTAGACAATTATGCACATTGCCAAAATTATTCCAACTCTGTGTCTGAGTTGTTTTTGTACGAGATCTAGAACACAGAAAACAGAGCTCGTCATGACAAGGTATCATATACAGAGAAATTTGCATGTGGAGGATTCAGGGATGCACTTATTGCTGAAGCAATTTGTGGAATTTCCCCTGGAAAGTATGTGTTGAAATGGTACAAAGAAGAAAAAGTAAACTCCATCATAGAGTTATTTGAATCAACAGAAATTCACACCTGTAAGTCAGCCCAAATGAATGCGCTTGCACAAAACTTTGCAAAGGCACTTGTCCAAGAAAAGCCAGAGGCTTTTGGTGATAGTTTTAATTACATCAAAGTGTACTTTGCCAAACACAATGATGATTGTGTCACATTGGAATCATATCTTGATGGTCCATTCCATAAGTTTGTAAACAATAATGACATAATACCATTAGATGCGAATGATGAAGAGGCATCTTTGAAAGCACAATGTTTCTGCCACTATACATATGTTAAGTCAGGAAAGCAAAGGACAGTTACAGACATTCAAGGTGTTGGTTACAATCTTTGTGACCCTGAAATTGCAAGTACAAATCAGAAGGATGTTGATAATGAGAGTATCCTGTTCTGTTCCGGAAACTTATCTCTTCAAGCAAAAGATACCTTCTTAATATTTCACTCTTGTAACAAGTATTGCAAATTACTTGACATTGTTGAACAAGAATAAGGTAACTTATGCAAGTTCAAAACAATGAAAGAGTTGCATGAACATTTACTATAAAGCATTGCATTGTTGGCCAAGAAGGGTAAAATTAAAAGGTAAACCCCAACAAAAAACTTTAATACAACAAATTAAGGAAGAAACCTTTCAGCCATTTTAGTATGTCAATTTTAAAATAAAGTTAATGAGGTAACGTTCATATTAAGGTGTGTCTTTGCTTTTTGCAAAAAACATATGTTTGCGGGCGGCATGTCAGACATGCATCAAATTGGCACTTCAATGCATTAGTAGATCGAATATGGCACCGCACGTGAACATCATTTGTCTGCTCAATCCAACCAATTAGACTCCTTTTCCATTTGGTGCAAAGAAACATCTAATAGCATTTCAGAGGGTCACGCGAGGGTACTAATTCCGCCTGGAGATTAGGAATTACACCCGGGACCCAGGAAAACATAGCGGAATCCAGAGTCGCCTAAATTTGGACCAAGGACGTTCAATGGTCATGGTACTTGTCCGCATGCGCGAAATGCGAATGAGTGTAGACTGGTAATCAGCAACTTCCTGATTGGCTAAGACGAAACGTTTGTGTTTCAGTGAAAAACGTCAGCAATTTAACTGTCATTTTGCAAACTATTTTTTTAAAAAAATGTTTCGAAAACAAATATGAAATGTGGAATCAAATAACAAATAAAACACTGGGAAGAGTTTAAAATATTATCAGAACTGGAAGATCAACTCGATTATAATCCTTGAAATGGTAGGAGTCTATTTTGTTAATTTTGAGGTTTATTTTGTGTTTGGTGTACGAATACATATTATGACCTTGGTACAGTATGTCGTTTTGCTGGGTTTTGCGAAGACGTGACCGACTATTTCAGGCTTTACATCATTGTTTTAACTTCCAAAAGAGTCTTAAAAACATAATTCGGAGTTTTAATATAACAAATATAACTTCAAAGGTTTATAGAGTCGACTGCAATCACTGCATGAGTTTAATAATCGAAAAACAACATTCGACGTTCACTGCTTGGTTATTCATATTATTTGGTAACAAGTATACCAAGTGCATATGTTATCCCAGCTGTATTAAATGTGTGGAAAAGGGAACAATATAAACGATTAAGTGAAATAAATGGCAAACCAGTTGAAGTAGCATCAGACATGAGAGTGGATAGTCCAGGACACTGTGGGCTACTTGGTGCTGGAAGTACACTGGATGTAAACAGAAATGTAATTCTGGACACCCAAATAATCAAGGTAATTTGATGGGAATGCTGGCAATAATATGCTACTTGCTAACAAAAACTTGCTAACATATGTCATTATATTTATAGAGCACAGAAGTTAATGTTCGCCAGGTTGCCAATGTGAAATAGACGTATGTTCAAACATGTAGATATTGTATATAAATGTATCCATGCAACTGTTGTAACATAGAATAATCTAACTTGCATAGCCGCGGTCAGTATTTACTTTGCGAACTTGAAATAAGTGTATAAACCAGTCGGGGAAGCAAATTCTTTTCAGATGCAAGTATACACACACAATGGGAAAACTCTGCGCACCTTTTTCCTAAAATAGTAACAACCCGTCTCGAGCATTTTCTGTAAGAAACAAGACGATATAGTTTATGTGTTTGTTCCAACTGATCGTCACCAAGCGGCCAATTCTCATCTAAATATAGCAACACATCAATATCAAGGACGTCCTTCAATAGCATATTTTGCACAAAGGAAGACAGGCTTGTTATACAACTTAATTGTTCATTTTGTGCTGTTGCCGTAAGTTTATCTTTGTATTCATCGTACTTCAATGCTTTCTGGTGACAGCAGAAGCTTTCAATAGTCTTCTCCATTATCGTACATTTACCACACTTTACACCAGTGGAGGGTAGTATGACGCCAAGCATTGGCTGCTTTGAATTCTTCGTCAAATTCATCCTCTTCTGACCCAGAATCTTCACTCGGAAACGTTACTATCCGTGCCTTCATCCCCTTTATTCAGCTCAAACATGTACTGTTCAATAATCTGCTCTTTGCTGTCTTTTATTTCAGTAGTTTTGACGCTTTCTTTACTAGCCATATTGAAACGTCTATATTAGGCGAAAACAACAGCCCAGGTTGTGATGTCACACAGAAACTTTAGAATAACTCTAATTTGTTCGAAATTTAATCCAAGATGGCAGACGAGGACGCATTACACAAGTATAAACAATCGCGATTTTCTGAAGATGCAATTGTCTGAAGACTAACTTTTACTGATTTTTAATATGTTATAGGACGGGCTTTATTTTAAAGTCAAAAAAAGATATTTTGCCATTTCCCTTTAAGGTTGCTGTTTTGATGTTCAGGTGAAAACATGAGTATTATGTCCGATTTTTAGGTTGGTTGTATCTGCTTTACACAGATAATTTTTGCTCTACATTTAATTTATATATGATAAACAACTCCTATTTCACATTTTTGTCCAAATTGTGTCAAAACAGGGGACAAAATTGCAAAAAATCTAAACATGCTTCATCATCCAAAGTTTAGGGTAACTTCTTGGTGTATTTGTGTTTGGTGTAGTCTTTTAACAGCAAAACGTGCAAAAAAGTTAAATGATGAAGAAAAGCCATCCGGTATTGATGTAGAAGAAACCGAATTAGATAACCTACTGGAAGAAATACTGGAAAAGGAAACGTTGGGCAAAGAACAAATTGAGTTAGATGATGAAAATAAAGTCAAAGCTAAGAAGAGCAAACATACTGCAGAAAGTATCTATGAAGATGCAATGAAACAAATGACAACAAAAAAGCGTAAGAGCAAAAGTGAAATTGATGATCTAGGTGATGATCAGGAAGAAAATGACAAGATTCCATATAGGAAAAAGAAAAAGAAAAAGGTGTGAAGAAGTACAAGTGATGCAATTAGCTACCTGCAAGTTAAAGCAGAAAAGGAATATTCTTTAAGACTGGAGGAGACAAATATTAGAAAAAAGAGTTGGAAACAGCAGCTCAGACACAACAACAATGCACATGACACAACAACAACAGCAGAATCAAATACTGATGGAATTAATGGAGAGAAATGGTTCAAAGTAACATTAACAATGTGCTAACTTTTTAGTTATAACCTGTTGTTTGTAATATTACACTTGAATTTACTAACGTTTACAGCTAAAGTTAAACTTGTGTTACAGTTAATAATTAACAGCAAACTGTTTGTACTGTGGATAATTTAAAGAATTGCAGGGATGATAACTATAAGTTGTAATTGATTTTTTACAATACTATTTTACTCTTTAACATGTTATGCAAAGTACTCTTGTAATGTAGGTGGATTTAAATTAAAAAGGTTGAAGTTTGATTGACAATTTAAGATTCTTTTCCAAAAGTCCGCAAACTTGAAATAAGTACTGATGTCACCAAATAACCACTCCACCAAAATATTCTTACTCTGAAGAGAAGACGCCCAGGGCCATCAATCCCTTTGCAAACAGCTGTTTCAACGGCTCGACATCAATGTTATAATCTATATACTTAATCTCAAAATACTGAAGCCGGTGTAAAAGACTTCGCTCACTCCAAGCATACTGGGGATATTTTGATTCGACAAAATCAAGAATTTCTTTCCTTCGTAAATTCTGGCTTACATAATGCTTAAATAATCTTGCATTTGGCAACAATAGGCTTCCTAAAATATGTATTCAATTTTAAAATGGACTTGTTTATATTTTATTTATATTTCTTTCATTTTAATTGGTTTTTTATTTCATTTTTTATTTGGTTTATAAAGGACTTTTGAATGGCAATGATAGACCACCATAGACATTAAGGCAAAAATGTTAATTTTCGGGGTATTACCGCAGATTTTTAATTAGAAACATTGCAGGCTTGTCAACAAGCATTTTTCGCAGTTATGCAACATGGTTTGAGCCAGGGAATCCATGTAAAAAATCCCAGATAAATTTTGAATTGTTTTGCCGTCAGCGTATTGGCGTGACTTCGCTCTTTGGTAAAGTATTGGCGCATGAGCGCTTCAGTGAGTCGGCGTGAAATTTGGGCAAAGCCTATGTTAGCAAAATATAAAAAAATTAATAAAATATTAATACAGCCAGCATGCAGCAAGTGTTAAATAGTTAATAAACCTAATATAATAAAAACAGCTCATCACTATTGGCACTGAGATACTTTTCTGTTGATTGTTTATTTGCTGAATTTGAAATAGGCATTTTCGATCATTCGATTATAAATGAGAATGCTGTAATGCGATTGGTTTAAAATAATTCAATATCATCATGAGTGACCTGTGACAACGCGGGCCAAGGCACATAGCCTTCGCGCATTACAGTGGCATTTGTTCCATCGAACTCAGTAATTTGTCAGTATTAGAAGTCTTTGACCGGGCGTTCAAGTCCCTGCCAGAGAATAGGACGATTAGGTGTACAACAGTGTAAGAAGGTATTATTTTTCATGAGTATATTACATAAAATTGTTTTGTAATTTCAACCTGTTTATTGTTTGGCATGCAATATATATGATTTAGCTGTTTTCTCTTTAAGGTGATGAAAATTATCTCACAGAAGCAGCATATCAAGGAGTCCAGGGGCGGATCCAGAAGGTATTGAGCGTAGGCTCTAGATGCAGTCAGATTACCGTAAAATAATTTCAATAAAACATTAAAAAAATATTCCATTTTATCGCATGCTATTTCTGTTTACAAAAAATAATGAAAATTCGAGTAATTACAGGTCTTAACCTATAAACGTAACACGTTTCTATGTCGTTAAATGGAGCTTTACCGAAAAAAGCCAAGAACTTTCCTAAAGTACAAACCGAGGGATTAAATTCAAAATGGAAATTGATCAGAATTTTTTTTTTGCGTCCAGTGTGTACTGATACTGTCCTCGGTTCAAATTTTACTAAAAATAGTAACTAAAAAAGGCATCTAGCCAAGGGTATCTAGCCAATCATAGGTCGTGTATCTGTGAAGTTAGATATTCTTCGATACCTTGGATGTGTT